CATATATATGTGTGTACACACACACACACACACACACGTGTACACGTGTACATAACGCGCATACGTGAACACAAACTACCAAACACACATGGATCAATGCAAGCGCGTGTGGGAGTCTTTGCTCCTGCACACTTGAACTTGAATTGGTTTGTGCGTGCTTTGTTATTTGTGTGTATGTGTACATGATTGTGTGCGGGTGTACATGTTTGTGTGTATCCGCGCTTATATATATTGTTTATTATCTTGTTCCATTCTTGTTTCTTTCCAGATTTGGATCAGGCCTGCATAATTTGATGTTCTCTATTTACTGCTTGATAACTTCGCGCTCTGTTTGCATCTAAGGGACGAAGGCCGGAGAGTACGGTTGGGATGCCGAAATTGTGGTCCTAGACGCCCATTTATATCTATACGCGGTGCTCCTGCATCTAGATTATTAGTTCGTCTATATCCATCTCCTGATAGACAATAATTATGTAGCTTAGCTAGAACTGTAACAACTCTTGGAGCGCGTTTAAAATCTAAACGCAAGGGTTGCCATAGAAGGCCCCATTTTCGAGATTGGGACTGGAAATAATCGTATGCGTCCCATGCATCGCCCAATGCTTCACGAGTGCCAGGATAGGGGGGTGTAAGCAGATGGTTGGTACATCTGTAGGCGGAATCACCCAGTACGTAGTAAAATATGGGTAAATTCTCCACTAGCAGGTCAAACCTGCTATATTCCCAAGCTTGACGATCATGCATACTACCATATACCCTGATAGAAAATGCAACAGACTTATAGTTTGCATCACACATGGCTTAGGCATTGAGCCCATAACCAGTCTTATGTCCAGAATATAAACGACGCCTATACTGACATCTATTTAATGGAGGAAAAGCTACGCACACAAATAAGCCATCGGCGACGGCAACACCACGGCTAATCACCCCGTGAGTAGAGTGTGATTTGAACTCTTCTGCTGCTTTGGCAATCTCTTCTTCCTCTTTTGGAAAGTGGAAGTACAGGAAACTCAAACCATCAATTGCGTATAAAACTCTCCAGAATATGTAGTAAACAGCAGCAGAAGAAATCCCAAACGCAATTTTAATATCTTGGCATTTTCCGCCGGCTGCTATACGCAAGAAGACAGCAAGTTGTACCTCCACATCTATTACACCTCCTCTCAACATGCCCATCTTTTTGTTTCTTCTGCATGTTTCGTTTATCTCACGTGCAAGAAACAAAAACTTTGGGTACTTCATACAAAAAGTGTTCTCAAAGCTGCGTTCTGCTTGTAGCAGAGCGCAGAGTGTTTGCCAGTTCGCGCGAGTACGAGCAACAAGCGTCCCTCTATTGCACTTCACCTGAAAGCTGTAAAGTCCGTCACCCACTCTATCCCTTTCCATTGCTCTCAGCAGCAAGTAAGGTTTAGACAGCATCACTCGTCGCTTGTGTGTTACCGCCTTGTTCTTCAAGAGCGACATTGTTATTATGAACTACTTCCTGTATATAGTATAGTACACTACAACCAACAGAAGATTCATAAAGTATGTATGCAATGATGTACTGTACTCTAGTATACTATAACAAACAAAAACTAAAAAGTATGTTTACAAAATGTGAAAATGTCAAAACGGCTCACACAACGATGCTTTGACACTCAATATTCTACCATATTGCAACCAATAGAAAGACGCAGCATTGCTCGTATATTTTGAGCGGCATATGTATACTAATTTTTATTGGATTTCATCAACCACTATGATGGCTTTATTCTCAAAATTTACGGTTTCAATTCCAACGGCTGGGATGGCAAAAAAAAAAACTGAGCCAAGGACCGTCGCAAAAGTACCCTTTAATTTTATTTACTTTTAATGCAGACCTCTCGTTATGAAATTGTTTTTTATAAAACAATACATCCCAGTATTTACTTATGTATTGTGGGGCCGGAAATAATTGGAAATTGAGAAAACGAATGGAAATCCGAGTGCTTTGTACTGAAAAGTCAAAAAGACTGGATCAAATCCGGTTTTTGGATATATAAATATATTCAGTATAAATGTATGGTTTGGACAACTCATGGACTTTTTTTATTGACCAAAAAACGCGGGGTATGCTCTACATAAATATCGAAAAACCCTATTTGATTTCAGTCTTTTTCAATATTTCTCAATTTCCATTTTCCGACCCCTATGTAGTAGACCCCTATTTCGAGAAAAAATAAATTATACTGGTGTAAATATGTAGTAATACATATAAATACTCTCTCTACAGATAATTTTTTTATTCGTTTATAATTTATACCAACTATTTAGAACCAACTAACAAGTATTCACTATCGGTTAACGTCTCCCGAGTCCCCCACCCCCCAGAGGGGCCCTGAGCCCCAAACTCCAGACTCCAGAGTGAGCAATAAAATGCTCGGTTCATTGACATCTTTAATTGATTATTTATACATATTGCATAGCATTCTAATATGTAAATCTAAATCGAACATGCTTTATTTTTGTTCTTGAATTCCTTTTGTTTGCCTTTTCATGAAAACAAAACAAACACAAATTGTCTATTTAAAAAAAATAAAAATAATAAAGTTTTCTTAGCCTTTGTCGAGTATTAAAAATATTTTTATAGTTGTTTTATTTTAAAAAATAGACCACCAATAAAAATAGTGCGACAATTATTTGTTTTTGGAATTTGTTTAAAAATACACAAATCAAAACTCACAAGACAAATATTTTATAGAGAAAATTTGCATAGCCATCAGTTATCAGCCAGTAGCCAACAAGCATGTGGTTTTTTAAAAATATGGCTATGACAATATTTATTTGAAGTTAGCCTAATATAGTAATATAGTATCAGAATAAATTTCGGTTGTAGAACATTTAGAGCAAATATTAGAAACTGTTTATATGTGTGCCATGTTGTTAAATTCCAATCTATCATATCAAAACCCACGTGCTCATAGAGAGACATATATATTGGGGTTTTTAGTGTTAAATAAACAGTACAAAAAAGAAATAGGCCCCAGTCTGAAGAATAAAAAATGTAGATAGGCTCGTAGCTTCTGCCTCTTGTGTGGCCTGCTCTTGTGCCTTGTGGAAGCATTGAGTGTACCATTATCGTACTACCGTTGTACACTTCTTCAAAAATGTATTTTCGTCTAGTAACTTAAAATTTCTTTTTACCAGCACAGTATATATAGAAATAGCAATGAAAATGTTGGATCCGTTCACGTGCAAAATCATCGCTGCCTCTTGGGCTTAAATGTAGTATTATAGATAGTACACTCGTTAAACAAAGGCACAAACTGAAAAGTATGTCAAACTTGAATTTACTGATTGGACATTTCCACTATGCTCTGGAACACAAATTCTGAACACAATCGATTTGGTCAAGGATTCTGGAATGTTGCAAATGGATTTTGGACTCACTCAGTACTTGTGTGAGTACATGTGTCGACTAGTAAGTATCTTTCCGAATAGTACGCCCATTTATCAGTCTTAGCTCGTATCTGGCTACGATCAAATAGAAAGTTTGTTATTTATTGTGGATTCTTTGAGTGTTTTTGCCTTACTTTTCAGTTGGCAACTCGTACATGATTGTAAAATGCAATCCCTCGTCGTTGTAAACACTATAAGAGCATTTACGCTAATGCGTGTTGAAAGGGAACGTATCGGCTGCAACAGGCCACGTATAAACGACTATGATTACTTCTCGTATTTTATCTGAATCACACAACATAATCTGATAGGTTCGAAAAGCCATCAGTTTAATGCAGGTTGTATTAAAATAAGCACAATGGTGAGAGTGAACTTCATATCAAAAACAACACAATTATCAGCACAGGATTTGATTCGAGTCAAATACGCATACATCTATAAAATGTTTTCCATACATTCTCACTATGGTATTTAATATCAACCAGTGCCCTATACAGTAATCCAAAGTATAAGTAAAAGCGATTTAAGTTTTATAACACGGAGGCTATCATTTTGGCTGGAACCTTTTTGAGGAGAAATTTTTATACCTGCATGTACAATCCATGCAAATGGTGATGTTAATCAGCTCATCTGTACTACTGATCATTCAAATGGCTTCTCCCAGCTTCTCGAGAAACTATCCACTACCTGATTATGTACAAACTATGCAACTCAAAAATATGTTTAATTGCAACTTAAAAATATGTTTAATGTGTAATCCTTTCCAGTTCTGTCAGTATGGTACTACACCCGAGTATGTACCCCGTATCCACCCCTCCATCATTGATCGGAAATGGATGGGCAAAATCGATCATTTTAACTAAAGGCTTCTTATTTGATGCTGAAGGATCGCCCTCATACACCACGAGCAGCGACGATCCATAGAGCCTGGGACGGGTTTAGAGTCGTGTACTCAGAATCAATTAACATTACAAACCCAACATTGAAACAAAAAGTATGATTGACAATCACCAACGCCGGGGCGCATATCAGGCATACATAAGTGCCCGGGAATCTTTTGAACAAATCACAGGAGAGGGGGGTAAAGTCAAGTCGAAGAAATTGTTGTCCGCAGCAACTGCTGGGATTCACACGCTCTACAACATATCTTTCTGACGCCTACATGCGCGTACACAAGATCCATAGTCTTGAAGCATTACAGATCAATATCTCATAGGTGCAAGTAGGTTCGAGCAACGTATACACATATACACGAAACATTGCCAAACACATATAGGTTTGGGTTTTAGACGGCCACCAAAACATAAAAATAGTATTATGACCAAATTCAACGGCCACTTGTAGTTGTGTCGGTGTTATAGTTGCTCAGGCACGGCAAAGATGATCGAGTCTATACAGACAAATAGGCATACACACGCACATATGAGCATGAAAGCCGACGTCTACGGGCATGGCGTGGTATAAACTTTACTGTGATGTGTATCATATGCATAATATGCACACGCTTCATGTATGTATGTAATACACAGATGCAGAGGTCAAGCACCAAGCATGTTAAATATAGAATAAGTAAGGCATGTAACCTACACTCACCGAGTGGCATAAATGGGAGGCTCAACCTTGAAGAAGGATGCAAAATTTAAACATCAATAGGTGACGGCAAGTCCGGCTGAGTGTCACTTAGAAGCGTGAATTGTCATGCCGTATCGGTAGCCGAATTCTTATGCCCTCGTTAGAACAGTTAGAACACGGAACTACTCGACAATCTGCACCTGCAAACCACCCAATAATCTTACACCCCACCGTACACTCTTTCCAGACCTCATTCACAATGTTTCACTCCAGAGAATACTCACACCTACCTCATGAAAGGATGGTTTTCCAGCGTCAATTTGATCTTCTCGATTTGATCACGGACATCAGAGACTACATCTTTCCGTAGTGCATCTGTGCCGTTATCGAAGAACCGCTCCAGACCCGCACCCACGGTCGTCTCGTCGATGGCCATACACCACTCACGCTCCGTTTTACTGTAGGACTCTGTGGCCGGTTGCCACACCTGTTGTAAAGGTCATTGTATCAATGAATTATAAATATATGGGTATCTACACGTGGCGATGCGTGCACATTGATATCCGCACCCGATCGATATGGTCCTCAAACATTTCGACACTTATTCAGCACTACACACCTTCATGCCCACGAATCTGAATCCAAGAGTTTTCTGAGGCGGATATTTCTTTTCCTCGCGTGCAATCTTTTCAGGCGTCGCATCCTCTCCGTATGTCTTTGTACCCATTTTCAAATCCATGACACAAGGGCGCACAAAGCCGTACACAGAGTTCTCCATCACCAGATAGTCTGTGTCTCCCTCTGTTTTCACACCTAGATACATTTGTAGTTTAAGTATATTTGAAGGAAAAAAGAAGCAACCAAATGGCTGGCTGGTTGATCACAGGGCAGAATCCATCACCAGAAAGAATTCTGGGATTCAGCTAGAGAACTCACCACTGGAGAGTTGATGCCCACGGATAATAATCAATTTGGAGAACAGTACGGGCAATTCACAATTCGCTTCTCTTCACTACTCGATTAGATTGTCGAAATTTCTGACAATGTCCCACAAATGCATAGAGAGTACGTTGAATGTATGTCGCACTAAAATAGCCAAAAGTGGCGAATATCTAAACATGAAAACATGCACAAATTACATCAGATATTGAGCAGTTTGCTTTTCATATTTCACAAGGCATGTTTGCTATATATAAATATATATATATATATATATATATAGATATATATAATAA